ATGGATATAACCTCCCTCCCAGTATGTCAGTATGGATATAACCTCCCTCCCAGTATGTCAGTATGGATATAACCTCCCTCCCAGTATGTCAGTATGGATATAACCTCCCTTCCATGAAGATACTGCCTGTGAAGCCACACAAACATTTACGGGTTACTGTCGCTACTCTCATTCTATAGTGTGGCTGCAGCTTTTACTGCATCTTGTGTCTTAAGGCACTAAATTAACATTTAGATACGGTGCACAAAGTCTTCAGTCCTGTTTTGTTGAAAAGCACAAAGAAATGCACAAAATAAAATTCATGCGAAATATAAATTTTTAGATTGTTAGATTGTGAATTGTTAGAAGAATGAAGAATCTAAAAGCTCAAGCTGAAGATTAGCGGAACGATTTAAGAGCTCGATATTTGTAAGCAGCTCTGGTGTCAATTATCACCCCTAATTGTTTTTGGATCATTACTGGTGAGTCTCTACCAACTTTTTACATCGGCTCAGTGCAATTTTTGCTCATTCATCTTTTTGGCATCTCAGATTTTCTTGGGGTGCTTAGGCATTCGTCCTGGGCCTCCATTTTCAAGCCGTTCCTCTGATTTCTCAGCAGATGTCAGGAGTCTCACTGAGTCACTCAGGAAGATCCTCTCACCTATTGTGAAGCTTCTCCATCCCAACATTGATCTTGTCCTACGGATTGCTGCCCTACTGCTAGACAATTTTGCTCTGAGAGCTTTTCTTAAAATATCGTTTGACTAAACTTCACAGACAGGTTTTTTGTATAGCTCTTAAAATCATGAGAATTCTCAAGCTCTCTTATGAACCACTTTTAAAATTCCGAGCATTCTTTTTCTAAATTGCTGTTGCGCTGTAGTACAGTTAAAAAGTAGAGAGCTCTTATTATGGAACACGCACCACCCGAAGCACCATGCTTACCTGTATCACCCTCAGGCCACAGCTAGTGGTAATGTTTACTGCTACTCAAATCGCACATTTGCATGGGGCTGAAGCAGCATGTTCTGCTACCCAGCTAGCTACAATTGTCAATTCTTACATTCACTAGCTAACATTTGAATCCCCCTCCATTCTGCATGTGCAGAGTTTGCATGTCACAGTCCAAAGAGAGCCTGGAGACCAGCATATTTATATTTTACTTTATGATATTTTATGTGTGCGAGGGCATTAGGCAACTTGTCTCTAAATTGCCCATATTATATGGATGTATATGGACTGTAATCGCATGGTGTACCCATGCCCTGAGCTGACTGGGATAGACTCCAGGCCACCCACGACTCTGAACCAGGAGAAGCAGTTAGAAGATGGATGAATATAGTACAGGGAGAACGGAAATCATACATATACAAATGTTTTGTGTGCTATCTAGTGGTCATTTGAAGTACTGCAATCTAATAAACTTCCCGTCATTCGTATTTTAGTTACAGCGATTATCATAATTACTATAAAACAACGTATATATACTTATAATCACAATTCTATAGTCATAGAAATGATCTATAAAAATAAGGAAGTCCAAAGAGAGTAGTAAGAGATTAGACCAGAAAGCCCTTTGGATGAACATAGGAGCTGCTTGTCTGTATGGAAAGCCTCCAGAATTCATTGCTTTCAAGATCGTTTCTGACCCGGATTTTCTAAAGATTTTTTCCCCTTATCAAATAATCAGAGAAAAATTGCAACAGGATGGAAGGAAACCAGAGCAGCTCAGTTAAACTGCTGGCAGCGAGTGAGCCGGGGGTGGATTTCAGATGTAGGAGAGGATGAATGAGGATGTATGAGGATGAATGAGGTGTCCAGGGGGTGGAAAGCGCCTGGGACTCAGGAGTGATGGTTTTTTTCAGCTTGGCTTCAAAGCTGGTTGTGCAAATATTTGTTTTTCAGAAGGATTTTTAAATGGAATGTTGATATTACCTGGTTTGAACTGAGGAGCCCCGCACATTTCAGACTTTATATCTCCTGACCAGGATATGAACCTGTCAAATGTTCAGACGGTTACCTGATGACTCCAAGTGTGATTCTTTAAAAAGAACAGCTGGTGTAGGCTGTGTGTATGGTTATCATTGGAATCTTTTGAAACTGCTGACAGTCGTGACAGATATTCATACGATTAATTATGAGAGCATATGAATTTTAATATAAAAATGACGAGAGAGTAAACGAATGACTGGTAAACACCAGGCTTCCATGGTAATGTGTATAATCGGTAATAATGTGCATGGTAAAAACTTTCCACAATAAGACATTAATTTACATCTGAAACTTTGTTAGTAGACATTGTTTTTACCATTAGTGACGTTACCCAATAAACGATGGATTACAAATTAACTTTCATTATACGTACTCGGAGAATCATACTCCAGTACTGTAGGTACCTGACTGCACTTTCCCGTTAAAAAAATCACTGTGAATTTAAATTGAATTTCAAAAGAAAAGTACACATCCGTTATGTATGTTGAACATTTAAAAATATGAAGAGATGTATTGAAACAATAATTTGACATATACAATAGTCTAAGTCTATCAAATTCTTGGTGTTGCGAGGGCATCAAATTTAATAGAAAAAAAAACCTAAATACGTTACATTTGTAAATTAAACTACAGATGCATAATCCAGCCGCTTTCTTTATCGTGCAATAATCATACATGTACGACTTTTATTGTGAAAACAGAATTGTAACTACCGGGTGAAAGTTCATCCTTAAGGGCCGTTCAGTGTTTTGCGCGGAGTTCAAAGAGACAGTCTTAGGCGTATACACAACGTGGATGCTTGAAATACAAGACAGTATATTTAATTATTACCAAAACATGACTGCGTTAAAAACGGAATAATTAATTATGTTCTAATTTGGACTGTACGGCCGGAACAGCGGGTAACTTGTTATTGATATTGTGTAGTGAGTCAGAGTAGCATGTGGGACGCGGATGAGATTGCCCGTCTATGCTACGACCGCTTCAGTGAACTGCCTAAAAGAGGCAAACCTGAGCCGAATAGGGAATGGACGCTTCTGGCTGCAGTAGTCAGAGTGTCCGCGCTGCAGACTGGTGACCCCGACCGAAAGACAAGTGGGTCCTTCCGTCCTTTCTATCTAATTTCCTGATTATCTATAAATGCTCTTGAAATATTCATGATCCGCGATTCCTCTTCCTACAGCTGTAAAAGAGGTGGTATCGTTAGCGACCGGCACTAAATGCATCGGCCAATCAGCCATGAGTCCCCGGGGTAAGTATATCTACCTTTGCCCAGATCTCAAGGTAACTCCTCTTCCTCCAGGGGTCGATAAAGCCTGTGAACGGTGTAAGATGATTTTGTGCAGAGTAAGGGCTTTAATGCATGACGTTTCATTTTGAGTCAAACTGACATAGTCGTCTGTTTATGTTGATATTCATAATCGCAATTCCATCCCCTGTCAACGCAGGTGATGTACTCAATGACAGCCATGCTGAGGTCGTTGCCAGGAGGGGCTTTGTCAGGTAAGGGGGAAGGATGTGTTTTATGTGTGAATCCATATGTGTATCACGGGGGGGAATAACGCAAATATTAACTGCAATATACCTTTTTTGTATGTGTGTGTGGGTGGGTGTTACCCAAAGATATCTAACAGAGCAGCTGCGGAGAGCAGTGTCTGAGGAGAAAAGTGAGATTTTTGTGCCTGCCGAAGAGAAGGGGAAATGGAGGCTTCACCACAGAGAGTCCTTTGTGTTTTTCTGCAGTCATACACCATGTGAGTCCACTGCTTCACTCAATCAGCTGAGACACACACATCCCCAGAAAGGTAGCGGCTAGGACACCCAGAAAGATGTCAAAGTGAAAAATGATCAGCACTGATATTCTTAAAAATGGCAGAACTTTGGAAATTACAGCATTTGATCGAGGCTTATAAGCAATTTTGAGTATAACAAACAAAATTATACATATTTATATTTTACTTTATGCCATTTTGTTACAAGCACTGTAATTTACTCACGCAAACTGATCTAGCGGCACAGATGCTTCAGCGGAATCTTGTTTGGGCTGATACCTGGCAGATGAAATTTAATGTAGACAAAGGTAATCCATGCAGGAAGCAGAAATATAAAATACAGATATATTATGGGTTCCACTGGCAGTCTCTAGGTGTGTGGAGTTTAAGTCAAAGGGGGGTGATGCTAAGATTATAAAATTCCTTGGTAAGACCCCACCAAGAATATTGTGTGCAGGTTTGGTCGCCATACCTTAAAAGGACATTGCTGCCTTAGAAAGGGTTCAGTGTAGGGCCATGAGAATGATTTCTGGTCTTAGAGGATATATATTTAAGCTATAAATGCATGACTAAATGAGTATCTTTCTAAAAGATGAAGTGGTTCAGTAAACTAGCAAATCCTATTTGGTATCTCTTCAATCCAAAACATTTGTGATGTCACAGATTTTAGGTGTGAGCTGTTGTGCTTCATCTGCAGGTGGAGATGCCTCCATCATCCCCAAGGTGGACAATGAACCAGCCCAGCCCTGCAAGCCAGTAATGGTAGAGCAACCCAGAGTTGGTGCCCAAGATGTGTTAGGGGACCCAGAGTTTGGAGCTGATGGTAAACGCCGTATTGAGGAAGAGGAAGATGAAGCAGTGAAGCGCCCCAGACTAGAGGAGCAGGACCATGAGAGAGGAGCTTGTGGAGAGACACCATGCAGGGAACATGGACAGGCCCAAGACAGTCCCAATGCAAAGGCCTCACTCTCTGACTGCCCTCTGGACCACACCCCACCTCCCAGCTTCTTTCAGGATCGAGCCCCGCCCCCTGACTGCCCTCGGGATCTAGCTCCGCCCCCTGACTGCCCTCGGGACCGAGCCCCACCCCCTGACTGCCCTCGGGACCGGGCCCCGCCCCCTGACTGCCCTCGGGATCGAGCCCCGCCCCCTGACTGCCCTCGGGATCGAGCCCCGCCCCCTGACTGCCCTCGAGATCGAGCCCCGCCCCCTGACTGCCCTCGAGATCGAGCTCCGCCCCCTGACTGCCCTCGGGATCGGGCCCCGCCCACTGACTGCTCTCAGGATCGGGCCCCACACCCTGACTGCCCTCAGGCTCCACCCCAGGGCCACCTTCAAGATCAGGTTTTGCCCATGAACCTACCCCAGGACCTGCACCGGACAGGGGCAAAGTGTGTGCCAGGTGCTCCCAGAGACCCGCAGGGCCCAGGCGTGGGCTACCACAGTGTGGGAGTGCTGCGAGTGAAGCCGGGTCGGGGGGAGCCCACCCTCTCCCTCTCCTGCAGTGACAAGCTGGCTCGCTGGGGAGTGCTGGGCTGCCAGGGTGCACTGCTCTCCCACTACCTGCAGGGGGCGATCTACTTCAGTGCTGTGGTAATAGGGAAGTGTCCATACAGTCTGCAAGCCATGAAGAGAGCACTAACCGAAAGGTGAGAAGTGTTGAGTAGCTTATGGAAAGTGAATCTCATATTTTAAGTACTTTTTCCGAATATTTAGTTAAATCCAGCCTGTCACAACATCCATGTGGGCCTGAAAGGGGCATGACCCATGTGACCTAGGGAAGTAACTCATGTGACCCGCACTCTGCCCCCCGCAGGTGTTCACATGTGACAGGCCTGCCTGACGGCTTCGAGGTCTGGCATCCGCAGCTGCTGCAGTCTGGCCTGGAGTTTGCTCACTGTCACGCACGAACGAATCACGCTTATAGGGAGGCCCTGGCCGGCCGGCCTGCCCTGGGCAGGGTATCTCCTTGTGGGGCTGGTGGGTCCAGGGGATTCTAGGATGTTTTTAAGGTAGAGGTTAAAGAGGGGCCATAATTCATACAGAGGGGCCAACCTTATCATTAGCCAATGATGCGTTTTGAATTGATGAGTGACACGGGAGGGGGACTCCGGGGACCAATCAGCTTTCAGCTGGGGCCAGTGCGCCTTTTGCCCCGCCCCTGCGTACACCCCATTCTTATACTGCCGCACTGGATTAAATAGATGTCACTGATGTGAGGCAGGAATGAGAGCGTCTCTTCATCCTTGAACAGTTTGAAGTGGCTAATGATGCATCTGTGCTCGATTGAGTAGCCTGTTCCCCTCTCCCACTGCTGGGTGCAGCCTCCTCTTGTTTTGTCATTGTTTTTACTTTACCTGCAAGTATCCTGTATTGTAGAGTCTACAGTATAATCTATTTTTCCATTTAGCATTAATATTTGATGTGGTCACAGTGTCTCTTTAATTGTATTTTCAGATAGAGTGACTTAAGTTGCATTAAATATGCAGCCTAGGTGGCCTTGCCAATGTTTTTATCGACAGAACCTCCCTACCATTTGGGAATATGCTTACACAACAGCTACGGAGATTATAATGAAAGCACCGTTTGCTGGGGTTCACTCGAGTTGTCTGTCTGTCACAGCGATCAGCTGGTGCGCCGTCCCTGACCGACCACTAGATGTCACCTCGAATGGCTACAAGCAGGGTGTGACCAAGAAGGCGCTGAGCACGTCACAGGCCAGGTGAATGTGGCTCAGTCTCTTCATCTCTCTTTCGTCCTCTTTCTCTCCCCCACCCCGCGTCACAGCGTGCGGTCGTTGTATTCTCAGCAGTTAGAGTAGAGGATTGTTTTTAGCCACGATTAAGGGCTACTGTTCTTTCCTGTTCTTCAAGTTTCAACAACAACAAGATTAACAAAAAAATGCTCGTTTGCTGCCCCCAGTAGAAGAGCAGGTTCCGTTGCAGCAGATTTCCAACTTTCCACCCCATTTTCATTGTGTAAGACCCAGGTGACACCCACTATGATTAGTCTGTTGACTGCATGGGTGACTGTGAGACATCATGTTCTCTGCCTGGAGTTCCTCCTCAGCCAGAGGCTTCCCGTACTAGATGCTGTTCCTTGTATCATTTGAACAGATGCCAACTTCTTAGCTCCTTATAATCTCCTGCTCTTGAGACCTTGTCCTTCCACAGACAGTGTGGCAGGTTCAGTGTAACTGCTTGTGTGCAGCGTGACGCAGGCAATATGTGGCGATTCGTAGGCCAATACAGGTATTGTTCGACACGTTCATACCTCACACACCTTTTTCATATGACTCACACTCTGCTCTTATAAACATAAACACAAATAAAAAGGAAGGATGCTATTTTAGACTAACGATACAGACACACTGGCACAAAAAATAGCCAGTTCTACCAGTTCTAGCTGCTCGTCGCTACAAGCAGAAAATCCGCTTCCAGTGGCGAAGCGAATTCGTGAATTTAAATTAACTTTGACCTGCATATTTGCTTAGCTAAACCAGTCTGGCTTGGCATGGGCAAGGATGACCCTTCATTACTGTAGCTGTCTCTGGACACCCTGTCCTTTTGGATTGCCAGATGTTTGTGTAAAAAAAGAAACCGATGCTGACCGACTGGTAGTAAGCGTTCAGATTGGGCTTGAGGGCCCAACTAAAAGCTTAATTCTGATACACATTATGGCTACGTTCACACTGTCATGCTGAGGTGACTCAAATTGGATTTTTTGCCTTAATGTGACACAGATCTGATCTTTTCAGGGCTGTGTGGACACGCAAATCTGATCTTTTCAAATCAGATTTGTGTCATTTTCATATGTGGTACTAAATCTCATACGTATCCAATGTGAACACTCAGATCGGAATTCATGTGGCTTTTTGCTTATACGCATGCGCTGACATCAGCCTGCATTGGCAGCGCAGGAAGGTAAAAATGGAGGAGAGCTGCGATAAGTCAGTGGAAGGATGGAGAAGGTGGGGATTTAATTGATATTTGGGGAAATGAATCTGTTCAAGCTAAACTGGAAGGAACCTATCGTAATAGAGTAGTATTTGAAATAATTGCCAAAGAAATGGCACAGCGCAGACACGAACGTGGGTACAATGCCAAAGGAAAATAAAGAGCCTGAAGTCAAAGTTTAAGGAGGCAAAAGACTCGAATCAGCGCAGCGGTCATGGCCGCACAACGTGACAATTTTACGACCAGCTTTTTACCCGTTTAAAAACGTATCAATGTGCGCATGCGTGACGTTTCGGAGGACCGATGCGTTCACATTACAGTCAGATACAGGTCACTTGTAGTTATGAATGTGAACCGTCAAGATAGATAAATCCGATCTGAGCAAAAAATCGGAATTGATGTGGCTGGCAGTGTGAACGCAGCCTATAACCAGGGATTGACATATCTGCTACACATAAGCAATACAAAGGGTTAAATGCACCAGTAATTGCTTGTTATGACAAGCAATTACTGGTTTCTGTTAACACAATAAAATTTCTTATTAAAAAACTAGGGTTCGTACAGTCATGAAAATCCTGGAAAAATCATGGAATTAAGGTATTAATATTGGCATTAAAATACACATTTAAAAAACGGTGGTGGCATGCATTTTTATACCATGTCAACAGGGTACAAATGTACCTGTTAAAAAGGTCTTTCAGTACTAAGACAAATAAGACAATGCTTTTCCATTCAAGAGCAAAAGGGTTCAGTCTGTCATGCATTATGGTTTGTTCTAGTATTGCGTGGGTGTGTGGGTGTGTTTTCAATGTCAAATATTTAGTGTGGTCTTGTAGAGAATGCTAAAGAAAATACTTTGTATATAATAAATATCGCTTGAAGCGTAGAATGTGCAAAGACCATATGAAGTACAAATACCAGACCGAACGAAAAAAAGGTGAGTGTGCAAGTGTCTGTAGAGCTTTGAGATGCAACAATGTACTTTGCATATAAACACTTAATGTGCTACCTGCCGAAAAAGTTAAGGGATAAATGAATCTATCTGGTAATAACTTGAAATAACTTGAAAAGATAATCTAGCTGGTTAATAATTGTATTCGTACCGAGAATTTTTGGTACGCATCTTTTGGTTCGGTACGCATATGAACCAAGCAAAAGCAGCAAATCCAGAACCTTTGTGTGTTACTGTTTTCCCTGAGCACCCCGCTGTACCGAAAATGTACCGAACCGTGACTTCAAAACCAAGGCACTACCGAAACGTGATTTTTGTGTATCCTTACATCCCTAGTTCGAAACCTAGTGGGAGAAATATTTTCGGACCAGTTACATCAATACCTGTCTATTGCGCATCGCTAGCTAGAAAGCTGCTCACATATCTTGCTAACTGGTATGTTCAAAAGCAATGTTATCCTGGTATCTTGGTGGGAGAGTCCCCCAGAAAAACAATCGCTGGATGAAGATAGCTCGGTATACAAAGTATGCACACTACCGTGATATACCAATGTACTATATCCTGACAGACCCATTTTTACTGTGTATTTTTCATGCTAGTGCGGTCATACCTCTAGGGACGCTGTTGTAGCCTTCAATGACATATCTGGTCTTAGTGGCTACTTCTCCTGGTCCTAGACCATAATGGTATATCTAATAATGAGCAGGCAGACACTGATGCTGAGGATGGATGTCAAATTTCTTAATATCACCTTCTCTGCACTCACACATGAAAAGGATGAACAAGCTGAATGGGACACACATATAAATATCAAACTTCATGAAGTCAACCCAGTTGTTGGTAGTAGAGTAAAACTCACAGAAGTCACTAGAGCCTTACTGTTTACACAACCAGCTGACATATAGGACATGCTAGGTGGCAAGTGA